TCTGTCTGTCTGTCTGTCTGTCTGTCTGGCTTTCTGTCTGTCTGTCTGTCTGTCTGTCTGGCTTTCTGTCTGTCTGTCTGTCATCTTTTGTCTATCTGTATGTCTAAAGACACTTGTGTTATGTTGTTTGTGTGCAGGACAAGCGATGTGCTGAAATTGCCCATTCTCCATCACTGGATGTGTTTTTACCAGAAGATGAGGACAACCCTTACGAGTCAGTGGCTACAGCTGTCACACGCAAACCCTGCTCTCTGGACATCCACCTCCACAACGCCTGTCCTCGCAGCGGTTAGTAGCTTCAAATCAATGAAAACTAATCAAATCAATAAAAACGAAATAAAAATATATGAAAACTAAATAAAACTAAAATGAAAAAAAAAAAATGTAGCTGATGTAAAAAATCTCAACACTAAAGCAGCATTCATACTTGTAAGAAAAATGCTTCATGCACCTCTGTAAATTCGGCACCATTCAATAAATATAAAACGTCATTAGCAATACATTTTTCATCAATAATATGATACATTTCCATGCCAAACAAAATATTCAATAAGGAAAAAAGGGCAGAACTTTATTGAATCCTTTGGGAATTGATTGGATTGTGAAACATTCATTAATATGTATCTGTTATTTAATACTACTATTACTACTGCTAATTATAATAATAATAATTTATATTATACTTATAATAACAATAATGTATAAATATTTATGAATCATTATTGAACTTCTCTTAATCCACTAATTTTATAGTGGATACAATCATAATAATAATAATTATTATTATTATTGTCTAAATATCTATAAATGCTTCACAAACCAGTTCTTTTTGTATTATGTTACGTTATTTTATGTTATATTATGTTATATTATACTATATCTGTTATATTATATTATACTATATACAGTTTCTAGTAATCCTGAATACCTTCATTAGTTGGTTCAGGTGGATTTAATTAGGGTTGGACAGTGGACAGTGGCCCTCCAGGAACTGAGTTTGACACCCCTGTATTATATTATAACTATATAGCATCCTATTGCATATTATTTTATAGCATATTATAAATACTTCACAAAACAGCTGTCCATGCTGTATATTTTGACAAACACAGAACATTGGGCCCCATAGCACCCTCCTCTTGTCGTAGTGTTTAAGTAGATGAGTGTAGTGCTGGGATGCTACAGCCTCTGCCGCAGTTCTTTCCTCTGGCATCATTCCTGTGGTAAGGGTTAGGGTTGTCGTGGAAACAGCTTTAGCCTTACCCAGAGAGGTTGGTGAGCCTCCTGCAAGTTGTCATGGAGACGCAGTGAGTCGTGTTGCCTGTAGGCCAGTGATTCACACCTGATGCAGCCGCAGTCACTGTTTATCTCTCAGACCACTCTATTAATGTAGCGGCACTGTCCGGCAAGATTTCACTTCATCTGTGTGTGTGTTTGTGTATGAGCAAGAGTGTGTGTTTTACTGAAACTATTTCCTGTGTTACTGTACTTTACCCCTCTGTTTGTGCTCGTGCGGATGTTTGCGTGAACATTTGTGGATTTTGACCAGCTATATTTTTGGCCTCTCAGTATCTCCACATGCATGAAATCACAGCTTGCAGGACTCTTTTCTCTCCCTGATTATAGTCAACACTGCAGTTTCGTGCTGCAGTAAAGCACAGGACCAATCAAAACACTCACACCGGTATATCTGAGGATAAATAGAGAAGCTTGCACATCACCGTTATAACGGGATAATCACTGTGATGGGTTAAATGAATTCAAGGTATTCAAGGACAAATTTTTAGAGTACATTTTGAATTCATGTTAACTTTAAATCAAGTTTTTGACCCTGCCATTTCTGTCACAGTGCAATGTTGAAGTAATAAGAGAAACAAAAATATGTGCTCATAGTTCACCTCTCTAGGTCATATCCTGTACGAGTCTGTGCAAGAATGTTAACCATGACCGGTAAATAATGACTTGCAACCAACAAAGCGGTTGTGAAATGTTTGGTAAGAGCTGCTCACAAGCTGAAGTTTAAAGCAATATGGGTTTAAAATGAAAAGATCATCGAGCATGATCATGAAAGATAACTTTTAAGCTCAACAGGCAACAAGGAAGGACACTAGTTAGCTGAGTATTCCGTTAACTGGCTGTTGTCCTTTAGGTGTCATCTAAGTAACCATTTCCAGCCAGTTTTTTGCAGTAGTATTGTGTTATGTTTCACGATCAGACTGACTCTGTGGGATTTGCTGAGGATTTATTAAGTGACGGCTTGTCAAAAATAGGATTTAGGTGGAAAGAATCAAGCATAAGTCCTGTTACAGCTGCTTTGGTGTGTCTTTTCCTGTTTATATCTTCTATGTCCCTATCTTCGGTCAGTCCCCTCCTTTTCTTCCTTTTCCTTTTTTTTAAATTATTATAATTTTTTTTTTACTTAAATGAACAAGTCATGGTCAATTCATAATATTTAATTCACCATAATTAAATTATTAATTCACCATAATTTTTATTTGAATTTAATTTAATTTATTTAATTTTAATCAGAAATGTGGTGGGGTGAATGAAGGGCATAAATAAATATAAATAAATTCCACAAATTCAACTTTACTTGCTTTAAGTAAAGTTACTTTATTTAACATAAATACATCATTTATTTTATTTACTTTTATATTCACTGGAAGTACCAAGCGTTCCAGGCAGGGTTTCGTTCAGTAAATCCATCAGTCAATCTAAAATGTACAATATAGTACAAGCATCTCTGGCAGTTGCATCATTAAATCTTAAATGAACAAGTCATGTTCAATTACGGTCACGTGATGAGCCTTTTTTCCCCCATGTGGCCTCAGATTACAGTAGTTCAGCTGTCTCCAGTTCAATCTTATCCAACATTAACATACCTCAGCAAATCATATTATGTGTTTTTCTTTTAAGTGTTTGTCCAAATATGTAAAAAATTGTTGGTGGTAATGGTGGTTTGAAAGAAGACAAAGTCGGCATAAATACAATATTAAAAAATAATTTTTGTTTCAGTACTTTGATGTGGCTGTGTGAGTGAAAAAAAAAATGTATTTAACATAAATACATCATTTATTTTATTTACTTTTATATTCACTGGAAGTACCAAGCGTTCCAGGCAGGGTTTCGTTCAGTAAATCCATCAGTCAATCTAAAATGTACAATATAGTACAAGCATCTCTGGCAGTTGCATCATTAAATTTGGTAGTTGTGTCACCAAAACTGCACATAATAATATGTTTGGATGTCCATATTTCTGTGCAGTTGGAGTAATGGCCTGCTAATCTTTTAGCATTTGTGTCGGAAGAGTCTCGGTGTTCCCATGGCTCCTACATGCCTCATTTCTCCCTCAGTGTCGCAGATAAGAGAGGTTAATGTCTAATGGCTGAAAGAGTAAAACACAAGTCGAGTTCATCCCCGGCTTCCTGCCCATTACCAACAGGGTCAAGCCCCACTGAGCTTCCTACCGCAGTCACAGAGCCGCCCGCTGTTATCACAAAAACAGCTGTGAGCAGTTTTGACAGTCACACTCTTTCCCACCAGCTCTGTTAGGATCTCCCTTTCTCACATGCACTCGTACGATCCCCCCAGCGAGGACGAGGGTTTTGATACGCCGCAAACATTGTTTTAAATGGGACTCTGACAGGCGTCAATAAAGAAAGTACAAATATAAAGGCGTGTGCAAGCGACAATCGAGTCTGCCATTTTGTTTCAATTATTAACGCCGCTTAGTTTAGTAGTTCATGAATATTCTGCCATCATTTGCATGCTAGAGGAGCGGAGCTTGTCAGTATTCATGACACTGGTGTGTGAGGGGAAGAAACGAGCCGTGTATAGAAGAAGTGTGTGTCCATGTGGACCCAACTGAATTAATTGTATTTCTGTAATTCATTAGTCTGCTCGGCGTTCACCATGAATACAGAATATCATTTATCATACAATTTCAGTGTCAAGAGTATAAGGCTGACATATGTTGGTTAAAGCACTTGCATATGAGTGAGGTGAAGTCTGATATAAATAAATAATAAATATAAAATAAATATACAAAATAAAAGCTAATTAAAAATATGAATAAATGCTATAATAATATATAAATAATACAAAAATATTTCTGCTCCAAAAGGTAAAAAAATCAGCTAAATAAATCATGAAAGTGGTCCATATGACTTGTGCACTATAAAGTCTTCAAGTGGATAGAAATACAAGTCATTATGGGCGATGTTCATAGGGGAAGATGTTCAGTGAATAATGACTTACGTTTCAGTCTGTAATCACATAAAACAATAGTATGGCTTAGCAATCTATAATCTGAACTACTTTATGATATATTTATGGTCCTTTTTGATCATTTTTGAAGCTTGAAAGCTCCCGCTCACTTTCATAATTGCATGGAAAAAGAATATTTGAAATATTCCTTTTGTGTTCAATAGAAGAAAATTATACAAGGTCGCAATGACCCTGATGATAAAGGTGATTAAATGAATATATAAAGCTAAATAAATCATGAAAGTGGTCCATATGACTTGTGCACTATAAAGTCTTCAAGTGGATAGAAATACAAGTCATTATGGGCGATGTTCATAGGGGAAGATGTTCAGTGAATAATGACTTACGTTTCAGTCTGTAATCACATAAAACAATAGTATGGCTTAGCAATCTATAATCTGAACTACTTTATGATATATTTATGGTCCTTTTTGATCATTTTTGAAGCTTGAAAGCTCCCGCTCACTTTCATAATTGCATGGAAAAAGAATATTTGAAATATTCCTTTTGTGTTCAATAGAAGAAAATTATACAAGGTCGCAATGACCCTGATGATAAAGGTGATTAAATGAATATTTAATATCCCCCCCCTATTGTCTATTAACTATTTTGTCCCTGATGTATAACTAAGTAAATATATGTGCATGCTTGGATGTGATGTGTTTTATTGCCTAATTACCTACTTGTTAACTTTTTCTGGTGGGATACAGGGGAAAATGATGCTTTTTCGCTTTAAGTCTCTAGTGTTTTGGCTATGACAAATCTTGTTGCTCATCTCCTGCCTTTTAGTTGGCAGTCAACTGATCTGAAAAACAGAAGGAAAGGAAGATGAGGAGGGTGTTGAATAAATAAATGCAGCTTGGATTTGTCTCCGATTTTGTCTGCATGGATGCCGTAGGGCTTATTAACTCACTTGGTAGTCACTCGTTTAGAGCTAACATAATCATGCCATACTGTTTTCTGCATTTTTTCATGCAGGACTGGATAAAGAGAGATTGCACCTAAAGGGATGCTGTTACTGTTTCTGAGCAGCATGGCTCTCACACAGTATAAGCTGTGTGTGATTGATGGGAAGGGTTTTTCTCAGTAATTTGGTGGAGGATTCAGATGTAACCCACCCTTCACCTCGTTCTGCTCTCTTTCTTTCTCTTTCTTTCTCTTTTCCTCTGTTTCATCCCTCATTCACAGAGAGTGATCCCACTCAAGGGAAACCTGCTCAGACGATAATGCGATCCCACTCCTACTCTGCAGTGTGTGTGTGTGTGAATGTCTATACAGTACACATGCTATTTTCAGATTACGTGTCTTGAAACCAAAACACACATATACAAACACACACAGCGTGTTGTACTGATCTAAAGGATCAGATCTTACAGTATTACTTATATTGTTAATACACAATTGTTTTTACGTTTATTGTTAGGCTTTTTTTCTCACAGGATTGAGAACAATACAACAGAGGTTTGTACAATGACTTTGTACAAGTGAAGCTTCCCTTAAAAAGTACAATTGTGGTACCATGGTACAGTAATGATGTCAGATGTTAAAACCATTGAGTTTTGATTTATACGCTACTGAATGATTGCCATATTCATCATGGAATTTGTAAAGTAATTCAAGAATATTATTTAACTACACTGGTACATCTCCAAAAATGATAACAGTATGGTGCTTTTTGGTTTTGTCATCTGTCACCAGTAAAACAAGATCTTGAATCTATTACACAATAAACCAAATATTGTAATCATTATTTATTGAGTTTGTTGGTGTTTGTTTGTGTTGGTTGGAGTTTGTTGGTGTTTAATGTAGCTTGTTAGAGTTTGTTGGAGTTTGTGTCATTGGAGTTTGTATTTTTTGGTGTTAGTTGGAGTTTATTGGTATCTGATGGAGTTTGTTGCTGTTGGTTGGAGTTTATTGGTATCTGATGGAGTTTGTTGTTATTTGTTGATGTTGGGTGGAATTTATTGGTATCTGATGGAGTTTGTTGCTGTTGGTTGGAATGTATTGCAATCTGATGGAGTTTGTTGGTGTTGGTTGGAGTTTGTTGGAATTTATTGCTATCTGATGGAGTTTGTTGACATTTTTTGGTCTTGGTTGGAGTTTATTGCTATCTGATGGAGTTTGTTGGAGTTTATTAGCATCTGATGGAGTTTGTTGGTATTTGTTGATGTTGGGTGGAATTTATTGGTATCTGATGGAGTTTGTTGGTGTTGGTTGGAGTTTATTGGTATCTGATGGAGTTTGATGGTATTTGTTGATGTTTCTTTCTTTCTTTCTTTCTTTATAAAGCACTTTCACACAACTACCAGTTGATCCAAAGTGCTGTACAATACAGCTAAAATAAAACATAAGAAACCACAAAACATCAAAACACAATATAACAAAACAATTGACATGGCTAGATAAAAGCTATTGACAAAATATGTTTTTTAAGAAGGTATTTAAATACAGGCAAAGAGGGCGCAGCTCTAATAGAAGCTGGTAATTTGTTCCATAGACTAGGACCAGCAACAGCGAAGGCTCGATCACCTCTGCAATGGAACCTCGATCTAGGAACAGAGAGGAGACCAAGATTACTGGATTTTAGGGACCTATTTGGTTTATAAGTAGAGATTGCCTTGGAGAGATATGGGGCTTGATTATGCAGAGATTTAAAAACAAAAGTTAAAATGTTAAAAGTAATTCTAAATTTGACTGGTAACCAGTTTAGTGAAATAAGAATCTGCGAGAAATGAGCGAACCTCCGTCTGCCTGTCAGCAACCTTGCTGCAGCATTTTGGACCATCTCAACCTTGCAGCAGCATTTTGGACCATCTGTAAACGCATTATAGAGGACTGACTTATACCATAGTATAGTGAATTACAGTAATCTAAACGACATAGAACAAACAAGTGAATAATCTGTTCAAACTGTTTAACAATTCTCAAAACCCAGGTTGCAATCAAAAAGAACACCAAGATTTTTAGCACAGGGTGTAAAGTAGGAAGAGAGATGACCAAAGTGAAGGGCACAGTCTTCGTATGACTTCAAACCAAACAAAATTATCTCTGTTTTGTTCTCGTTTAACACTAGAAGATTCTGTTTTAACCATATTTGTAATTAATTTAGACAATCCAACAGAGGTCCTAAGAATTCTTTACTTTTATGCTGCAAGGGAAAATACAGTATCATCTACGTATAGGTGGAAGGACACTCCATATTTCTCAAAGATAGCACCCACTGGTAGCATAAATATAGAACATAAAACTGGGGCAAGAATTGAGCCCTGTGGCGCCCCACAAGCAAGTGGGCGTGAGGACGAACTATGTTGGCCAATGGAAACACTAAAATTTCTGTTTGTTAAAAAGGATTGAAACCATTTCAACACCTTGCCCTGTAACAAGGAACAGAGTTCCACATGGGCAGGTTAGATCTTAACTGAACGATTTTCTCATTAAAAAATGTACAGAATTGTTCACACAGTGATATGGAAGCATCAGGAAAAATGTTGACAGGGGGACTGAGCACAGAATCAATAACAGAGAAGAGGGTCTTAGGTCTGTGTAAGTTGTCAGCAATAAACTCAGATAGATATTTGGACTTGGCGGCCTTGACAGCTCTCTGATACACATATAAGGAATCTCTCCTTATATGTATATGTATCTCTCCTTATATATATAATGGGTGGAATTTATTGGTATCTGATGGAGTTTGTTGCTGTTGGTTGGAGTTTATTGGTATCTGATGGAGTTTGTTGGTTGGAGTTTGTTGGTGTTTGCTGGAATTTGATGGTATTTGTTGGTGTTGGTTGGAGTTTATTGGTATCTGATGGAGTTTGTTGGTATTTGTTGGTGTTTGTTGGAGTTTATTAGTGTCTGATTTTGTTGAAGAGCAACAATTTTTTTGTTTGTTTTTACAAACTAAGGGATGAGTTGAAATTATTTTCTGTGGTAAGTGACACTGACAAAAGCTGACATATTGACAAAAACTTGTAAATATAACTCAGAATATTGCAGCAAAATATACTAAAAACAAAAACACAATTTACAAAAAGCAATGAGGTGATTCAATTCTGTGTGTATCACACACTGGCTTTCAGAGTGTTAATGGTGGTAATGGTGCAAAGGCTCTGAATTAGATGCTCAGTGTTCAACCATTTAATTAGCATTGAAGACACACAGGGCTCCTTCAGAGTCTTTTCCAACTATTGCTAGATGTGCTTTCATTGAATGTCTGCATCGTTTAGTTTCTTTCCATAAGCCCTTTTGCTTCCCATAAGTAGTACTTCTTGCTAATGACTTTAGAATCAATGGCGGGAAGACATTTATTTGCCCAATTCTGTCCTAGAACTCACTTCAGGCTTATTGTTTTTAATGTATGAAGCATGTGGTTTTAATTTCAGTCTATCTCAATCTCTCTGTACTTTGTCTCTCTGAAGGCCACTTCTCACATGTGTCGGTCAGTGATGCAGAGCGAGGTAACCATGGTGATGACTTTACATGTCTGACTCCTGACTGTTCCCCTCCTTCACCTGATACAGCCCTGAGGAACATCGAGAGAGTCATCCGCCCCCAGGTACACACACACATACAGGAACACACATGCACACAGAGTCTATTAAGTTGTTCTGCTCTCAAGGTTAATGGTGCTCTTTTAGATAAAACATAATCTGGCTGTAACTATCGCAGCATCTGTGTGTGGGAGTCGCACACACACAAGAGCAGTACTGTCTTAAATCTATGCTAAGATACTAAGCATTCTTCATCTTAATTATCCGGCTATTATAAATATGCACATGCCCGACGGGCGGATTTTCTTCATGCTTTGATATGCAATTGTCCCAGGCCGCCCTAATTTTCACTCTTTCTTCAAACCTGAGTTTTTTTTTTATTGTCATCAGTTACAGTATAGTAAGATTAAGCTGTAGTGTTCCAAAAAGTGTCTGGACAATTAAAAAGGCATGCTTAAAAGCTTAAAAGTAATTGCATTATTAAACCAAGTGGTATTTATCAAAAAATAATAATTTCAGAAGCATACTGTCACGATCTGCTATGGTGCGGGAACACGGAGCAAGGAACGAGGAGACCAAGAGTACAGAAACCAAGGAATTTATTCATCTTCACGGGGAATCACACGTAGCACTGTAGACACAAACAATACCGGACGCTGGAGCACACACAGGGAACACTATTTATACACACAGGAGGAGGGGATGACGAGACACACCTGGGATCAATGAAACATCATGGGAAACACCTGGGACAAATTAAACATGGGAAAGGAAGGCACATGAGGAAAACAACCACAAAACACGGAACAGAGTCTGACACATACTAAGCAAAATTTTTTATTACATTTTTTTTATTTAGGTAATAAGTTAATATTAATTATAAATTATAATCATTAATTATTATAATTATATTATAATTTATAATATTATTATTATATTATTATTATTATTATTAATGTAAATTAATTATACATTACAAAACATACACTGTAAAGTTGTAAATCAAACAGATTATCGGAGTATATTTTACAAGAAAAAAATATTTCAGTATTATATAATTATATTAATATTAACTGTAATTTATAATTTTAAATTACAAAATGTAAAAATATATTTTTTCTACTCCAAAATGTCACGTTTAATTCAATATGTTACTTGCAGTTTCTTTGTAATTATTTGTGAAATTTGCTAGCAGTTTCTAATTGAAAATTCGAAGTTCTACACACATTTATTCAGTGTATAGAAGGTAATTCACTAACATTGATATGCCACAATTCATGCACGTAAAAGAAATGATACGGATATATCATGTAATGAATGATGTAACAGCACAAATATCTACTGAAAAACTGCTGAATACAGTTTGCACAGCACAATTGTCTATATCCATTTCATCGGCATTTGATTAATTACTGCTGACAGGATTGCTATAAAATGTTCATAAACATCTTTTTTTAAGAACTCAATTCTGTTTACCGCCTGCTTTCTATGTGTGGTAATACTGGCACATTTAATTGTGAGAATAGTGCTGACCTTTGCAAATTAGGCTCAATATAGTGCTATATCATTGCAGATAGAGCCTGATTACACTGAATTGCAGGTGGTTATTGAATAGGTGATAACAACTAGGACCAGATAAAATGGCTCAGAATAGTCAAATGAGTTCTGTGAAAAGCTCCAGCATCATTTGTTTACATATGCCACTTGGTTAGATATTTTGTATCTAATGCACATGAAATTCATATGTTTGTAACTGTGGCTTAGGTTATCGGTTTGAGGCCACTTTATATGATGTTGTTTCTTTTCTGCAAAGTCTCTTTCTCTCTGTTGGTTTCCTGCTCTCTGTTTGTGACTTATTATTCTGTAAGAGTGTGAATGGGCCCTTTTTCGTCCCCGTCAGAGTGCTCAGTGCATCCTATCAGAGTCATGTTTGTCCTCTTTTCAGTCGACCACAATCCCTCGTTTATCTGCGTTGGCCCTCTTTCGGGTTGCTGAGCGCCCACAGGATTAGAACGAGACACAACTGTGCACATTCTCCCTCACTGTCTCCCAGTTGGGCACGACGTGTACAGTGCACTTTCCTAAAAATGTATTTCATTTTTTTAATTTCAAACTGTGCTTTATATCTACTAAGTGCAGTCTGTCTTTCATGCCTTTTAATTTTCATTTTAGATTAAGTCTCTTCTGCAAAAAACTTCAAAATAGTGCTAATCTACAACCAGCCAGTCATTATCGCAAAATAGAGCCTGCGGCCAAGCTATGTATGCAAATGTAAATGAAATCTGAATTCCGCTAAATGTGGGTTAGAAAACCTGTTGCGCTACATGGCATCAAAACGCTGCATGCATGACACAGCAGTCTGTATTAGTGGTAGCTAAATCATCACACAGCACTCACGATCACTGAAGTGGGCTTCCATCAGAGCTGACGAGGGCTTCGGCACACTGATGGGCCAATCGAGCTCCTCATTTGCTCGATGCACAAGCAAAGAGGAGTCTAGTCACGTCTGTTAATCATAAGCTCTACAGCCCATCCAGGTGTGCCTCTGGTTCCCCTGGGAGAAAGAGACTGATGATGGATCATTTGCCTCTAGCTGCACCATTGATGAAGTGTCCATTCATAAAGGGACGTAACCCAGGGGTTAATAACCTGGGCTGGTAACTGAATAGTTGTAGGTTCAAACCCTGAAAGGTCTGGTCTTTTAGCTGTCGTCATTCAGCAAGAAACCTAACCTCAGGTTACTTCAGGGAGATCTTCACTTTAATTTAAAATTCTGCTGCTTCTGTGGTGACTTTGTGTAATTAAACTGTCATTAAACTGGCCCCAATAATGTGGTAAATATTCTATTCTATTCTATATTACATTACATGTGTAAGTTCAGCTCTAAAACATTGTAAGCTGCCTCCCTAGACAGCATTTTGGGCAGCATAGAAATACAGTCATAAGACAAATAGATATTCTATTCTATTCTTTATTACATTACAAATGTTATTACATAAGTTATTTTCCACAACCTAGTGAGCGGCTTACCTAGGCAGCATTTTTAGGCAGCCATTTTTATTTACACACATCCATAAGACAAATAGACATTCTATTCTATATTACATTACATTTATTAAGTCTGTTCCAGACCTAGTGAGCATTCTAGATGCATTCTAGAATTTTTAGGCAGCATAGGCATGCAGTCGTAAGACATTCTATTCTATTCTATTCTATTCTACAGATTTAAACTCTATTCCAAAACCGAGGGAGCTGCCTACCTGATGACTGCATAATGATGATGCATTCTTTTGGTCAAAATCTAAGGGACAGTCAAACTACAAACTTGAACAATAAAGCATTCAAGATTGAACCCATTTAATCTAAAACTAAAACATTTAACTCAATATTTGTGTCTGCTTTGTAGTCTATGCATATCATTAGGGTTTGGGTTAGTTAGCTTAGCAACATGGTAATTGGAATGAATAATTTGATTCCAGTAAATCCAATTTAAATTACAATATATTAATAGAAGTATATTAATATCCGTATCTATCTATCTATCTATCTATCTATCATCTTTTATTAATATACAGATTCTACAGTAGTTGTGTAAGTAAATCCAATTTAAATTACAATATATTAATAGAAGTATATTAATATCCGTATCTATCTATCTATCTATCTATCTATCTATCTATCTATAATCTTTTATTAATATACAGATTCTACAGTAGTTGTGTACATTTATGAAAACAATTGTATTCAATTGTAGAAAACTGATGCACACTCAATTATGCAAGATCACGTCTCTGAGCTAAAAGAAGTTCAGGGTGCATTTTGCATTCACGTTCGTAAGTGTCTCCATAGCTTTTGTCTATTTTAATGACAGACATTACTGCAAAAAACGAATGCGGTAGAAGACATCAGTCTTTTAGAAGAGAGTATATCAGCCTCTGATGAGAGAGTGAGATACTCAAAGTTGTCAAAATGCCTCTTGATGTGAAATGCAGGGCTGAACTGACCTGCTAGTTCTTCCTCACAACTGTTGTGAAATTAAAATGGAAAATTTAAATTTGATGGCAGTGTTAGAAGAGCTGTGAAAGCAGCCAACTTGCTGCCATTGGAGCGGATGGTTGGAGAGGGTCATGACATCATGATGTGTCCTTTTCTGCTTTTCATCAGCCTTTCAAGTGTTCGTGGGTGTGTACTTGTGAGAAACAGAGAGTTTAAATTAAGAATTGTTTAATTGGCAGTGTGATCAAATGTGTGTGTGTTTGCACTGCGAGTGAACTAAAAGTGCAGCCCACACACACTCATCAGTGACCTTGTGTTGGGTGTCTTCTGTTGAAATCTTCCTGTAGGCTCTCAAACCCCTGTGGTCATAACATATTCTGCATTTTCTCTTTAATAGCAATTCAGGAATAAAATATCATTTCATGCGCCCAGCTGGATGTTGAGAACCCCTTTGGCGATTAAACTGTATCACCGCTGATGAAATGGTGACGAGCTAAATGATGCAGATTGCATATTTCATGCCCTCGGCCCCTTGAGTTTTGAGTTTGTCATGCTAATGATGCTAATATCATGTAGTTCTTCTTGTGTGATACAAACAAACACAGCGTGAAGCACAAGCTTCATAACTCTCCTTACCTTTTCTTGAATATTTAGTTCATGTCTTGCTCTCTTTTTATTTCCTTTCTTTCTTCCATGCAACACAAAAGAAAATGTTTACCAGAATGTTCATGCTGCTCTTTTCAGTACAATTAAAGTGAATGGTGACCAGGAACTGTCAAGGTTTTTTTTACCGTTCAAGCCTTTTTTTTGTGTAGAAATTAATATATATGTATATATGTTGTATATGAAAATGAGCAGTATGAACATCCTGTTATACAGGTTCGAGTACTGAGATAGATGATTTTGGTTGAACTATTCTGTTAATTTCCCATGATTTCATCTGGTGTTGCTTGTTTAAGGATCATTTAAGGATAAAAAGGTTTGTAACGCCCTGCAGTCGGTTTGATTTGTGCTTTGAGGCATCTCATTTTGTAATGAATTGCAGCCCCTCCCCCTTTGCTGAGTGTGT